ACTGTCTGTAACTCCATGGGTGCCAGTCCAGGGCATCCAACACTCTCTCTGGCCTCCAGACACTACATGCTGCACAGACATACACATAGGTCTATAAAACTAAAATCGCAATGTAAACATTTGTTTTAAAAAGAAGTTATAGACCAAAAGAAAATTTAATTACATTTTTTAGATCATTTATTTTATACTTGTGAGTGTTTTGCCTGCACATATGTATGTGGACCACAGGTTAGAAGTCATTGGATCCCTGTCATCAGAGTTTCCAGAACTGGATGGGTGTGAGCCACCATGTGGATGCTGGAGAGTGAATCCAGGTCCTCTGCAAGGGCAAGGGCTTTAACTGCTGAGCCTTCTCTCCAGCTCAAAACTCTTTCTGTTTGAGACAAGGTCTGCTAGCCAGGCTGGCCTTGAGATCACGGTGCAGCAAGGATGGCCATAAGTCATGTCCTCTTGAGTTCTGGGATGATGAGTGTGCATCACATTTGGTTTTCTGGAGTCTAGGGACGGAACCCAGGGTTTGGTGCTCACTAGGTGAGCATGCGCTACCAAGTGAACTGCATCTCCAGCCCTAAAAGAGATTTTTTTTTTGAGACAGAGTCTCTTGTAGCCCATGCTGGACTCAAATTCACTAAGAAACCAAGGATGACCATGAACTTTGGATCCCTCTTCCCTTCTGCTAGGGTGCTAGGATTGCAAGAATCCCTAGTGTTTATGCAGCACTGAGACTTGAACCCAGAGCCCTGTGCATGCCATCAGCTCTACCAACAGAGTTATGTTCCTAGTACTAGAAACTTTGGAAAACTCAAACATGAAGAGAAGTTTGACCCATTATGCTAAAAGGCTGAATTATCTTTCTAATCTCTTTTCTCTTTTTCAAACAATACTTAATATCAATAGAGATGCCAGGTCTGGGGGTGCCTGTGGTAAAGTCCCTGCTGCACAAGCATGAGGACCTGAGTTTGGATTCCCAGTGCCCAAAGAAAAGCCAGCTGTGTGACACACACTTGCACGCCACTGGGAAGTGGCCAAAGAAGGATCCTGAGATGTTGGTGTAGGTAGGCAGTTGGCGAGCTCCAGGTTTAGTAAGGAATTGTGGTAGTTTGAGTGAAAACACCCCATAGGCTCTTAGGAACTGGCACCATTGGGAGGTGTGGCCTTGTTGGAGTAGGTGTGGCTTTGTTGGAGAAAATGTGTCACTGGAGGTAGGCTTTGAGATCTCAGAAGCTCAAGCCAGGTCCAGTGTGTCACTGTCTCTTCCCGCTGCTGCCTGTGGATCAAGATGTAGACCTCTCAACTCTTTCTCCAGCACCATGTCTGTCTGCATGCCACCATGTCTGTCACTATGGTGACACTAGACTACACCTCTGAACTGTAAACCAGCCCCCAGTGAAATGTTTTCCTTTATTAGAGTTCCCATGTTCATGGTGTCTCTTTACAGCAATAAAACCCTAACTAAGGCAATACTTTTAAAAAAATAAATAAATTGTCCTAGGGGTGCAGGAGCTGGTTGGCATAAAAAATAAATAAATAAATAAATAAATAAGGGCAGATGTGATGTAGAGATGGTTCGGCAGTTCAGAGGGCTTGCTACTCTTCCAAAGGACCCAAGTTCTGTTTCTAGCACCTATGTTAGGCAGTTCAGAATGGCCCATAACTCCAGTTCCACAGGATATGACACCCTCTGTCATTAGTCCTGACCCCTGACCTAGAGAATTGCCTAAGGCATAAATCAGATGCCCCAAAATCTAGCTGACCAAAGTTCAGAACAACTCCCAGGAGTTGCTACAACTGTCTAAGACTGGTTCTTCATACAACAGGACCAGAAACCTGGGCTGGTCAGATTCCACACAATTCACACATTAAAAATAAAAAAAGTTAACAGAATGGGTCAAATTAAAACGTTTCATTACGGGGAACCTCTAAAGCACTTTAGGTCACTGGTAGCATCATCAGGCCAACATCCGCCTCTCCTTCTGGAAGGCCCTGTGTGGAATGTTATTTTACACTGTATGGATATATGTTGCTGTGATTGGTTGAATAAAGAAGCTGACTGGCCAATAACTGAGTAGGATAAAGTTAGGTGGGAGAGCCAAACTGAGAATGCTGGGAGGAAGAAGGGCGAGCTAAGGAGTCGCCAGCAGAAGCAGAGGGAAGCAAGATGGGCATGCCGTACTGAGAAAAGGTACCAAGCCATGTGACAAAGCATAGATAAGAAATAAGAGCTAGCTAGTAATAAGCCTGAGCTATTGGCTGAGTATTTATAATTCATATTAAAACTGTGAATTCTTTGAGAACTGGCAGCCGGAAAGAAAGGCCTATCTACAACCCTACCCTTCACCCTCTTGCCTGATGCCTATTTATCTCCTGGCCAACAGTGCTCTGAGAACGCAAAGATGTGCCCACCTCCTAGTGAAATTAAATCCTTACTGACAAAAACAAAAAACAGCCAGCACCTCCACCGAGTACTTGAAGACACAAACAAAACGTGTGTAGGGAAGGTGACTCAGGCACCTGAAGAACTGAGGGTTAAGTGTTTGTGACAATGACATCTAGTGACAGAACAGGGCTAACTCAGTTTACCAAAAACTTGTCCAGCACAGGATGTGGTGCACACACAAGTCACACACAGCACACAGGAGACCACAGAAGGGTTGCTCAGAGCTAGAATGGGCAACAGAGTGAGCTCAGGCCTGACTGGAAGATAGAATGAGATCCTGCCCCCCCCCCAAGGGAAGGGGCCTCTGCCTGTCTAGGACAGAGAGAATACTGTTGGCTTTCTCCCAAGATTTTCTGGAAGTTGTGCAAAACACTGAGCTTTGACGCTTGGTCATTACTTTGTGTCTCTGAGTCTTAAAAGAGTGAAATAGGAAATCAGACAGAGATGGAAGTACAAAGTAAAAACTGGGAAGAAAAATAATAGGACCTCAGCTGGACATGGTGGCCTCTTATAATCCTAGCATGTGGGAGGTGGAAGCAGGAAGATCAGGAATTCAAAGTCAGCCTCTGCTATATAACAAGTTCAAGACCAACCTAGACTATACCATGAGATTTGGTCAAGACCAACCTAGACTACACCATGAGATTTGGTCAAAAAAAAATTTTTAAACAAAAAACACGCAGTCAGACAGTGGTGGCACATGCCTTTAACCCCAGCACTTGGAAAGCAGAGACAGGTGCCAGCCTGGTCTACAGAGCAAAATCCAGGACAACCAGAGCTGTTACATAGGGAAACTCTGTCTCAAAAGAACAAAACAACAAAAAAAGTAAAACAAAAACAAATTTGTTCCCAGGGGTAGGGTGTCCCTAGAGACCTATTTGAATCCTGTTGGCACTTCTGTAGACATCTCTTATAAGTTTAGCAAATCACTGGCCTAATAGAGTGGAAGGTCTCCTTAAGACAGACTGGTCAGAACACAACTCCACTGGTTGACTCTGTCTGATATGCTGGGCCATCCTCACTTCTAACTTGAACTTGCTGCTTAGGCTTTGGGGTGGTTTGAATAAGAACATCCCCCATAGGGTCATATATTTGAAAGCTTAATCACCAGGGAGTAGAACTCTGAATGGGTTAGAAGGATTGGTGTGGCCTTGTTGGAGAAAGTATGTCACTGGGGGTGGGCTTAGGGGGTTCTCTCTTTACCTGTGGATCATGATGTGGCCCTCAGCTACTGTTGCGGTGCCTGCCTGCATACCTCCACCATGAAGATAATGGACTAAACCTCTGAAACTGTAGCAACTCTCTAATTAAATGCTTTTTGTTTAATATAAGAGTTGCCATGGGGGCTGGAGAGATGGCTCAGTGGTTAAGAGCACTCACTACTCTTCCAGAGGTCCTGAGTTCAATTCCCAGTAACCACATGGGGGCTCATAACCATCTGTAATGAGATCTGGTGCCCTCTTCTGGCATGCGAGCATACAAGGAGGCAGAATGTTGTATCCATAATAAATAAGTAAATCTTAAAAAAAAAAAAGAGTTGCCATGGTCATGTATCTCTTCATAGCAACAGAGCAGTGACTAAGGCCGATGACTTCTCAGTCTCTCCCCTCACGCTTTCCCCAGCCCTCACTTCTGGTTTAGACCACATTTAAAGCTTCTCAAGCAGTACCGTTTCTTACGTGTGTGTACATGTGTGTGGAGGCCAGAGGTTGTTGTCAGGCGTCTTCTTTGATCATCCCGCCTTATCTTTTGAGACAGAATCTCTCAGTGAACTGGAGTTTACCAAGTAGGCTAGGCTGGCTAGCCCGCAAACCCCAGGGATCCACTGATCTCTGCGTCCCCAGCTCTGGGATTACAGGCATGCACCACAAGCAGCTTAGTATATGGGTGTTGGGGAGCTGAACCCAGGTCCACATGCTTACATGGCAAGCATTTGCTGACTGAACCGTCTCTACAGCCCTCCACCCACTTTTTGTCTCACTCCATCTCATCACAGCTCCTTAACGTAACTCCTTTCTCCCGGCCACTTTATTTTCCCCAAGATGGATACGGTGTGGTTCCTGCTTTGCATACTGCAGTTTTCATCCTACAAAAATCTACCGACCATCTCTGCACCAGCGTTTACGGAAAGTATAGGAGATTCAAGGCTGAAAAATATCAGTGCTGCAAGGCCATCCTTCAGAAGATAGTCTTCAGTTATGTCTGTCTGTCCCTAAGGACAGACAGGCAGGGCCACCAGGTCTCCGGGCACTACAGTGATCTACAGCTCCCAGCTACCTTTTACTGAACCAGGTTCAAGTTCCTGCGTCACAGTCTCACCGGGTAACTCCCGTCACGCGCCAAACACACACTTCCCACCCTACCCCAGGCAACTGATAACTCTCTTTTGGGTCTTGCTTTGTGCATTTGAAACAAAAGGAAATTGGACCAACTTGATTTCCAAGACCCCAAAAACTTCTTGTTTTGGTCAGTTGGCCTCAATTTGGGCAAGTCCATTAAGTAAAAAGGGATGATCCCAGCCTTCAGTAGGCTACCGCAAACCTCTACTGCCCACACTCTGGGGTCTTTCTCCCGCTACCTCGGCCGCCACCCTCCTGACCGCTCCCCCAAGCGCACGCGCACGGGCGCTCGCCCGCACCCGCCGCAAGTTCCGGGCTTCCGGTTCCGCCCGGACTGAGGGACCGATGCTGATGGCGGCGGCTGAGAAGTTGCCGGCCGAGAAGTTGCCGGCCGAGAAGTTGGCAGCAGAAGAGGCTGTGGAGACTGAGACTCCGGGAGCTCTGAAACCCGGAGCCGCCCCGTTCGGAAATTTCCCTCATTATTCTCGCTTCCACCCTCCCGAGCAAAGGCTCCGTCTTCTACCCCGGGAGCTTCTTCGACAGCTCTTCCCTCCCGAGGGTCCCGAGAGGAGGCCGATCCTAGGGCTCGACGTGGGGTGTAACTCCGGGGTGAGTGAGGGATCGGATCGCTGGGAGCCAAGCAGTTGTCGCCTCCAGATCCCCTGTGGTTCTGACCTGGGCGTGGCATCAGAATTTGCCCGAAGCGGGCTTTTAAAGTTTAGCTTTGACAGACACGTGCACTTCCCAGCCCTCCCACTGTCCCCCCCCCCCCCCATCAATTTAGGAATTTTGAGTAATCCCCAAATTCTTTCCAAATTCCCGCCGGACCGTGAGGGAGGAGGACCGTCTTATCTGGATTTCCGGCGCTTGCCTCCTGTTTTGCTGGCTTCCTGGCTGGGAAACCGGGGCCACATCTGGGAACATTGGTTCCTAGAAGAGAAGAGCCAGGGAGACAGAATCATGTCTGAAACTTAAGGCTCCAGATACACAGTGCAGGCCAGACCTGGAGCCAGGTACGTATTTACTTATGCTGACAGAGTGCAACAGTGAACAGTAGAGAGGATCAAGAAAGAAAACAGATCCTTCTGCCAGAGGAGGGAGGCCTTAACCATCCTGCCCACCGCAAAGTGTTCTAAGGCCTGTAATGATTATAGTCAAAACCACATGCAAAATAAGGAAATGCCAATCTCACCTCTTTGTAGCCACAGGGATATCTTAATGGAGCAGGCAGTTTTACCCCATGACTGCAAATGTTTCCGAAGTTAGGACCAATGACCATCACTCCAGAGTGGCAGAAGAGACTCGGGTGGCCCGTGTGTAATGCTAGCACACATAAGGGTGGGCATCCCAGCAAGTTAGGCTAGCCTGGGCTATATGAGACCCTGTTTCCAAAAACCATAAAACAATAAAGAAAGAAAGAGAGAGAGGAAGAAAGAAAGGTTGGTAGATGGTTGAAGACCATGAGGGCTCAGCTGAGTAGCTTCGAGTGTAAGCAAATGGGCTTTGTGTCCCTTGCCAGCTTCATTATAATGTGGGGAAACAGAGAAAAAGACTTCCTGAAAGGAACCTGGAAACCACTGAAGGTTTTAAAGTTGAGAACATCCCGCATAAAAACACAATAGAAGGGACACAGCAGCAATGGGCTAAAGCAGTTGTTCCCAAATATGGTTTATTTTTTTTTTTATCTTACCTAGGGTCTCACCGTGTAGCTACTCACAGGGCAGTAGTCTACACTGCCCTGGATACGTGTAGACCAAACACACAGGGTCAGACCGGAGGAAGGAGGCAGGCTTAGCAGCGCGGTGCGGGTTCTTGTGCCTTCGGCTGTGACTCTGAACTGCATTAGCATGACTTCTTTGCTGTTTATATGAAGTGCAGGCTCTTGGCCTTTCCCATATCTGCTAAGCCAGCATCTGTGTTTTAAGATGACTCCGTAGATGACTTGGGTACCGTTAAAGGTAGGAAGGCCAGAGGAAGCACCCTTCAGAGCACTCGCTAGAGATACAGCAAGTACCAGGTGCTTGCTGCTCTTCGAGAGGAGCCCGTGTTCTCCTCCAGCCTCTCCGGGCACTTGCACACATGATGTATGTAAGTACCAAGACATGTGCATACACACACATAAATAAAAGTAAATTTTTAAAAGTCAGGAAAGTCGAGTGTGGAAAACGGAACTCAGTGTAGCTTAAGTCTTACTGTGTCCTTGGCCATGTGATAAGTAAATAACCTCGAGCCATAATTTTTAAAATACAGAGTTTTTTTGTTAATTATTCTATACCCTCATAATAGTACACAAACATGTCTGTACTTTATGATTATAAGGCAACCTTTATGACCACTGTCAGAGTAAAAAAAAATAATAATAATAAAGCATTGTCTACCCCAGAGGTTCTCTATGTGCCATTTCCTATTAAAAGCCCTTCTTCACCCACAGGGAACAACTAGCCTATTATTTCCTTTTGTTTCTATCCTACTCTTTTCCTATCCCTAAATAATATAGTTTAGTTTTCCCACTTTGGGATTTTTTTTTAAAGGAAGCCTGCATGTCCGCTCTGTCGGTACATGTCTGTCGTGCCAGCACTTGAGAGACTGAAGCAAGAGAGCCACAGTTGGAGACAAACCTGATCTACATAGTGAGACTTGTTTGCAAAAAACAAAAAAGGAAAACTTGCCATGTATTTTCATTGTGACTTGACTTTCTAGTCAGCAGCACTGAATTGAAAATTCAGTCAGTAGTAGAGGTGAAAATACTCCATTTTGGTGGATTAAGCCAAGATCCTCAACTTTACAATGTTACTAATATTCTTTCTTTTTCCGCTCTTTGGTTTTTTGAGACAGGGTTTCTCTGTGTAGCCCTGGCTGTCCTGGAACTAGCTTTGTAGACCAGGCTGGCCTTGAACTCACATCCACCTGCCTCTGCCTCCTGGGCGCTAGGACTAAGCTTTTATTCCATCTTAATGAGGTTCTTCTTGCTTGCCTTGTTAGTGGACATCTGAGTGGTTTCCTCTGTGCATGCTCTTCACCTTCATGAAAAGACGAGGCAACGCCTTGGAGAAACTGTATAAAACACATGTTTGAGTTAGTCACAGTGGCTCCATAGCTGTAATAGTTTCAGAGGAATGAGCTGGTGTCTCGCTTGTGTCAGAAGTCTGCTGAGATGGGAAGAATCATGTCATTAGACACAGCTAGAAACATTACGATGATTTGAGGTGGGGAAAGCTCGGACAGTAGGAACGAAGGCTGGAAGATTGAAGACTGGATTGCTAGAATCCGGACCTTGCCAGCTACATCTAAGAAACGGGTTTTCACAAGGTCGCGCTTACTGTAGTCCCCACCTTCCAGAGAAGGGACCCCACTCACACTTCTGAATCCCTTGCCTTTGGATATAAGACACCCAGAAAAAGAAAATGCATCTGCCGTGGGCTCTTTGCTACCTTTGCCGCTTCATTTGGGCTATAACTTCCAACTATACAAGTGTCAGGATATAGGTGGCCAGGCATGGTGCATTCATGTAATCCAGTACTTAGGAGGCAGAGACAGAAGGAGCAGGAGTTCGAGACCATCCTCAGCTATACAATGAGTTTGAGGTCAGCCTGAACCACTTAAGAGTGACTCAAAAAAAAAAAAATTAGAATGTAGGATCTAGGGCAGGTGCATTACAGCCGTCAGCCTCTGGAGGGCGCTGAGAGTCTGGTCATGAAAAACCTTAGCCTCTTGAGATTATTATGTTAAGAGCCTCACGTCGGTACAGTAAGAGCTAAGTGGCAGTCTCAAAGGATGAGAGATTTCTTTTTCGCTCAGTGTTTGAGAGCTGCAATGACAAGACTCTTTTGGATTCCTCTAGGACCTGAGTGTGGCTCTGTGCAAACATTTCCTTTCCCTGCGTGATGGGGAGCCCTGCTCAGGTGCCTCCAGAGACCTCCGCCTCCTCTGCTGTGATATAGACCCAGTCCTTGTGGAGCGAGCTGAAAAAGCATGCCCTTTTCCCGATGCTCTGACCTTTATCACCCTGGACATCATGGATCAAAGGAACAGGAAGGTCCCCTTGAGTGCTTTCTTAAGCCAGTTTGGGCGTTCTGTTTTTGACATTGTCTTCTGCATGTCAGTAACTATGTGGATTCATCTGAACCACGGGGACCATGGCCTGTGGGAGTTCCTGGCCCATCTCTCCTCTCTCTGTCGCTACCTCCTCGTGGAGCCACAGCCCTGGAAGTGCTACCGGGCCGCTGCAAGGCGCCTCCGAAAGCTGGGGCTCCATAACTTTGATCACTTCAGCTCTCTCACCATCCGAGGCGATATGGCCAGTCAGATCGTGCGGATCCTGACGCAGGACCATGCGATGGAATTAGTGCGCTGCTTCGGCAACACCAGCTGGGACCGAAGCCTTCTGCTCTTCAGAGCAAAGCACGCCGTGGAGACTCATCAACCCCTGAACCGCTAACAAGAGACAGAAAGGAAGAAATCGGAATTCTGAAAAGGAGGGCAAACAGGAAGAGCAGCAGGGACACAATGTGACACTTTCATACTGAGAATCACATCCTGGAGCTATCGGGCCTCCAGACCTGGCAAGAACTCTTGGCAAAGTGTCTGAAGCAAGCGACTGAAAGAATTAGTGTCTGTGTTCCCGATGTTTGGATAGCCCCGAGGGGAATGAATTCAGAGAGCAGTGAGCTAGGCTGTCTGGATGGAGATTGTGGTCCTGGGGAATGAAACCGCCTTTGAAAGCTGTCTTGTTTGCTGGGGACCAAAGTTAGGGTCTTGTATGTGCTGGTCAAACAGTCTACCACCAAGCTACACCTCCAGCTCTGCGGGGGGTTTATAAAAAAACCAGACCGGGTTAATAGACTGTGTCATCTCTTCTATTTATTTATTTTATTTTGTGTGCATTGGTGTTTTGCCTGCATGTACGTCTGTGTGTGAGTGTCAGGTCTGTGAGTACTGGGAATTGAACGTGGGTCCTCTGGAAGAGCAGTCAGTGCTCTTAACTGTAGAGCCATCTCTAGAGCTGCATACTGCCACTTCTTTGAACTTAAATCCAGTCTGGATCTTCAGGCATTTTCTAGACTTGCTAGGCCTGCCTTGACACACAGCCTCGTGATGAAATCTGCGATGAGAGGTCCTGGACTGGCTACAGGAAAGGGCCAGTAGGGAAAGCATTTCGTCTTTCTAGAGGTCAGGTCTCACCGTAGTTGTATACTAAAAGATACGCTAACTAGCATTTTAAAAAGCACATAGAAATACTTAGAAGCTGGGTATAGTGGCAGATGCTAGCACTTGACAGACAGGGGCAGGAGGATCAGGAGTTCGAGGACAGCTTTAGCTATGTAACTTAAGGCCAGCCTGGCCTATGTGAGTCCCTCCTGTCTTCAAAAAAACAAAACCAGTGTGATAACAACAGATGTTTAGGGCTCAGGGTAAAGCTCAATTATAGACTCTTTACTCAGTACCTGTAAGGTTTGAGCCCTAGCCTTCTCATCCCCCACAAAAAACAACAAAAAGAATTTAATTATGAACCCAAAGATAGGTAGTGACTTGTGATTTGGTTCTACAATACAGCTCAGCAATCTTGCTTTCCCTTCCTCTCCCTTCGCCGTCTCTCTTTAGTTTTCAGGACTAGATTGAACTCGGAACCTTGCACCCACTGGCAAGACTCTGCCACGGAGTCCATCCCAGCCTGATTTGGTTTTGTTTTAATTTTTGTTTTTTTGACCAAAGGCATCTCTATGTAGTCTTGGTTGTCTTGGAGCTTGTTATATTGACCAGCCAGGCCTTGAACTCACTGGGATCCTGCTTCTCTGCCTTCCAAGAGCTGGGATTAAAGGTTTACATTGTCACCAGGCTGGTGGTGGAGCACGCCTTTAATCCCAGCACTCAGGAGGCAGAGGCAGGCAGATCTCTGTGAGCTCAAGGCCAGCCTGGTCTACAACAGCTAATTCCAGGGCAGGCTCTAGAACTACAGCGAAACCCTGTCTCGAAAAAAAAGCAAACAAACAAACAAACAAACAAAGGTTTACATTGTCATGCTTAGCCTTGTATTTTTTTATTGCAGCAAAATTTATGTGACAAAATTTGTCATGATAGCCATTTTAATTTTTTTATGGTATGTGTATTTTGTCTGGTCTGCATGTATGTCTGTGCACCATGTGCATGCAGTTCCCAGAACCACCAGAAGAGGGTAGCGGATCCCCTGGAACTGGAGTTAACAGATGGTGTGTGGATGTGCAGACTCCTGAGTCCTCTGGAAGAGCAGCCAGTGCTGTTAACCACTGAGCTGTGTCTCTCTAGCCCCATGCTGGCCATTTTTAAGCATTCAATTCTGTGGCATTTTAAGTACATTCACAGTGAAGGTTCTGTTCTTAGCAGGCACCTTGATTCTGGTACAAGTGTAAGAGAGAACACTGACGGCTTGGGATTCTATCTAGCCTTCTGCTAACAGGCCTTCCTTTCCTGTTGCTTTAACTTACCCCTGATTGCAGCTCCACCCCCAGGGCCCCAGACTAATACTGTCCTGTTTTGTAATCATAATCCCCTGAAGTAGTTATTAGACAACTCAAATTCAAAAGATCCCAAAAGCAAACTAATCCTATTCCAATCTAATCCCATTGTGGCGTTCATTTATTGCACACACAAGAGACTCTAATTGGCTCCTCCTGTCTGCTTCCCCGCACTGAAATAGGTGCAGTTCAGCACATAATCCCACTCATTGCACCCGTGCGGCAGCACTCGGGTCCTGGGTCCTGCCTTCAGCCGTAGCCTTACCCACACATCCGAAATAGCCCTCTCCTTTTCCTGAACCCAGGTGAGCTAAGGATCAGAAGGAATTTTTCAGAATAAAGTATTAAACAAAACTAAGGTGCCATTTCTTTGTGACGACGCCCTATCAACATGCTGCAGCCTACAATTATGCTTGTTAGAACAAAGGCTTAAAAGGAAAAATGGCAGAAAATGACTCTTACTTGTTTTTCATGAGAAGGAAGTGTAAAATAAGGAGCTCTGATTGAAGGCCACTAAGCATTTTAAATGGTGGAGAAATGGGAATGGAAGAATAGAAACAAAGCTAGGTTGGGGTGGTCTCAGAATGGTCGTAGCTGGAGACAGAGCTAAGTTTCCTCCTCTGTAACAGCCCTAATGTCCTGGAACTAGCTCTTGTAGACCAGGCTGGCCTCACACTCAGAGAGATCGTCCTACCTCTGCCTCCTGAGTGCTGGGATTAAAGGTGTGTGCCACCACTGCTCAGCCTTCCCTGTATATCTTAACTCTACCATGCTGCTCTGCGGGGCGCGCTCTGTCACCCCTCACCAGGGCAGTACAAAGAATTGTATCTGCCACTGTGTCGGGTCACACTCGATTCCCAGCATGTCCACATACTGTCCTGGGAGCCTGTGAGTGTTAGAGCGCGCTAACTTTGCTGGTGTGATTAAGGACCCTAACCTAGGGAACTTAACTGGGCTCACCTTGAAGAGGGAAGCAGAGATTTAACCACAGCAGACTGGGTGGCACTGAGGAAGGACCGCAAGCCAAAGGATGCCGGTAGCTTCCAGAAGTCAGAGTGGCAAGAGGGTACAGCCTTCCTTGATTTCCTAGAAGGCACACGGGCCTGCTGAGACCTCAATCTGAGATTTCTAGAATAAGCGTATGTTTCCATCCACTAAACTTGTGACTTGTCACAGCAACAAACAGCACGAACACAGGAGCTTCTTTCCGTGGGACTGGCTTTAAAGGCCTCAGAATCTGGCCCAAATAACTTGTTTCATTCCTGGTTTTGCAGCCCTGGCTGTCCTAGAACTCACTCTAGACCAGGCTGGCCTCCAACCTACAGAGATCGGCCTACGTCTGCTAGGAATAAAGGTGTGTGCCACCATGCCCAGCTGTCCCAAACAACTTGATGGCAGAAAATGACCTCAGTGACCAAAGGACATGGAGGGGTTTCATCTCCACAGTCACAGTGAGCATATTTCAGGCACGAATGCCTGTAGGCGTGGGCCGCCTGCTCGCTAGTGACACGCTACAGAGCAAGTAGTTGCTTGATCAGTTAGAGGAACCGCTGCACTTCATTACAACCTGCATGGCAGCTAGAAGAAAATGTGTAATTAGTGCTCATAAAGATGAGGCCACGCAAATAATGACTGCTTAATCGCCTCTGAGCTGTGAAGACCATGAAATTGCCTTTTCTCTGAGAAGAGATCATCTTTATATCAAACCAGTGTGACTGAGGCACGGCACCAAGTCGGCTGAGCCCTTTTAGGCCTCGGGACAGACGCAACTAGAGAATGAGCTGAATATACCTCAGCATTTTTAAAAAGGCACGAGCAGGGTGTAGGGGCGCTCCCCCACAATCTGAGAACAGAGCTCCAGGCCGACTTACACTATGTGACACAGATGCTGTATCCAGAAAAATTTTACACATGTAATCAAACCGGGCGGTGGTGGCGCACGCTTTTAATCCCAGCACTCAAGAGGCAGAGGCAGGCGGATCTCTGCGAGTTCAAGTCCAGCCTGGTTTACAGAGTGACTTCCAGGATAGCTAGGGATGTTACATAGAGAAACCCTGTCTCGAAAAGCAAGCAAACAGAAACAAATTTAGATATGTAATCAAATATCTACAAAGTGTTTCCATTCAGTTAGCAGCAGAGACCCACCAACCATCCCTTACACTGATGCTTCCAGTTCTGGCACTTAAATACATATGAAGTTCATCTCCATTTGGGTCAGCCATTTTTCAGATGCGCATTAGCATGTGGCTAGTTCACATACTCTTGTGGCAAATGAGGAGGCTCCACATCCAGGTCCTTCCATCGCCTGTCATGCCCTTAGCTGCCGCAGGACAGTGCCGGGAAGCAGACTAAACAGCCCTGGACTTTCAGGTTAAATTCAGCCTGTTTTACAAATTCAGGTTGACCAGAAGATGCCGACAGCAGCTAATGTGAGCGTGGAGCGTCAGGGAAGGACGCCTGTAGCTGCCGTGGGCACAGGAGACAGAAGAGAGACAGCTGTCAGTGAGAGGGTGTGGAACGATGCCAGGAGCAGCCCCTGTGAACCTGACATCAGGGACCCTGTGGCCAGAGCAAGAACACACAGGATGGGCTGGTGGTAGGCAGGTGTCAGCGTAGAGCAATGCCAATTTTGGAATACTTTCCACATATAACAAAATACTCAGAAGTCACAGACATTTGACTAACGGGGAAGAATAAAGGGTCATGAGCACCAGCTAAGAAAGTTATTTCTAATGTATCTGACAAAGGGTTAATCTCATACACAATTTGTAAATCTCAGAAAATGACATTCACAGAAAATAATGGCAGGCTGGGCATGGTGGCACATGCCTTTAATCCCAGAACTGGGGAGGCGGAGGCAGGCAGATCTCTGAGTTCCAGGCCATCTTATTTTACATATCAAACTCCAGGACAGCTGGGACTACATAGAATTGTCAAAAAAAAGCAAGGAAGGAAGGAAGAAAAAAAGAAAGAAGAAAGGTAGATAAGAATTTAACACTTGACTAAAAATCTGATTAGTACGATGCTGATAGTCTTCTGGGTTTTGTTGTTGTTGACTTAAGAGCACTGGCTGCTCTTCTAGAGGACCTGGGCTCAATTCCCAGCACCCAGTGGCAGCTCACACTGCCTGCAAGTCTAGCCCTGGGGATCTGAGGCCCTCTCCTGACCTCCATGAGCACCAGGTATGTGTGTGATGCACTTATAAGCAAAACATTCATCTGCATAAAGCTGAGAAGATAAACTGTATTGTGTACCATTAGTTGGAACATAATTTGGCCTGGCTGTTAGGGAAGGCAGTTGTTCAATGTTTATCAAAATGTATAGAAATTACATTGTGAAGAAGTTAT